ATTATCTTAAGCTGTTTTGGGATGTGCAAGATAGTATATCTCAGAATCGGCTAAATGCATTTATAAATGCGTTACCCTAGATTCTGAGATCTCAAATTATCATACAGTTCTTATTTTCGACCTTGTCTTTATTCTCGAATCATTTGTCTATATCCAACATTTTTTGCTACCATTAATACCAGGACTCTGGAAACATGACAGGAATATAAGCAAAGATGGATAGTGGCTATCAGTGAAATCCAGGGTGAGCGTTTCGTCCTGTTTGAAACTCATCAGCTGGATGTGCCCGGTATCCCAGAGTTGATTATTCATTCCAAGACTGGAACTCAGCACCGTTCGCTTCAAACGCCATCGCCTTATCCACTTAGCTACAGAGTCCTGGTAGCTACCTGCTTATGCAATGAGGTGAAGTTTAAATTCACTTGGTATTATTTATTTACAAATAGGACTAAATGCCCATCCTGAATTCCACTTCTAGCCACCATCCATGTTTGCATATCATGCTTGTGACCTAAGGCAATATAGAGGCGTTACGCACAGTATGCACATATGCCAATGAGAGACTGATGATTTGCAATCCTAAACATCAATGCGAAGATTCAAGTAAACAATACCAAATGAATTATGACACGTATATATTTACAAAATTGGTAACTAATCAATCAGCATATGACACACAACACATAGTTACGAATAACTTCCCAGAAGTTATAAGTGAAAGAATGTATTTCTAAAATCTCAGCGAAAGAATTTGAAGTAAATCCAACGTTTCACCTGGCAATCTGGTCCAAGTTTTTTTCAAGGAAATATAATCAAACATCAAAATTACCAAATATAAAAACACACATTCTTCTTCTTTAATGTCTTACACTAACTCAACGCCCAAATACTGTGAAACTGTTCGATCAAATTTAAACGAAAGTTCTTATTGAAGAATGATTGGACGAAATAGTTTCAATCTTTTCTTAGTTTATGAAGACTTTTACCAGGATTACTTAAAAATAAGCAACATCAATTATATAGGATTGTAATGGTTAATTATTAGTATTTGCAAAAATACAACTTAAGTAAAACGATAGGTTAATGTATCTCAACTGAAGGCAAATAAGCTACTTGTTAATAGATATTAGTAGTATCTTTACAATGCCTTTATTTATAATTTTCATATACTAGTTTTCTACACCATTAGTAATAGTCTATCTATAGAGAGTAATAAGATCACCTAAATGTGTTCAGTTTTTTTTCTTACTCAGGAATAACAAATCATGATTGAAGTTTTCATGATAAAATTATCGTTACTCGGTTTTACTTCATCAATTACAAACCTTTTATTATATTAATTTTGGTAAATACAAAAATATAACCTACAAAATCCATTTATGGGGCTCTTTATTTTGTCGTCATTTAGATCGGACGATGTTTGTTGACGGGCTCTCCATTTTAGTGGCTTGAGTTCTGACTCCAAGTAGATCGTATGAATGATCGTTGTCGAAATACATATGTCGCCTATCCTCGTATAAATCACGTTAGTCAATAACGGAATTAAATAAGTCAAATAACGAGAATGGACTTTTGAATACATATATTTTGTATATGAAGTGAATGGTGAGTAAGCTAACTCCCTTTAGTCAAGCGTTAATCAGTATTTATAGTCACACAAAAGTAAGTTACAGACATGTGATGAATATAGGATAAGAAATGTACGCATACATATACGCTCATATAAAAACAGTGAAGATTGATAAACAAATAATTAGTAGCAGCATTCCATGTACCTAAATAAATGGTTGTTCTGGTTGTCAGAAGGGGCATCGACCTCGTGAATTCAGAAGGAACTCGGCTTTCATCATGAGGCGTCATAACTCTTCTAAATGAAGACCTTCTGACTCCCAGGGCAGAGTTGAAAAGATTTGAATAGTTTTTTCTTGTTAGCGTTTTTTAGCGAGTTAGTTTTCTACGGGATGGAGTCACTAGCTCCATACCCAACTCTCCTCCTTTATCCGGGCTTGGGACCGGCAGTAGCCTCCAGAGGGACTCCAGGTGGAGTTAAGCAAATAATTAACAAGATCATAATATGACTCAAGTAAAATGAATAGATTGGCCTGTCCGAAAGCTAGAATAAGATATATGGGCTTAACGTAATAACTGACTACACATTCATCAATGTATATGTACCTCAGTGTGTGTGTGTATATGTATGTGTATGTGTGAGTGTTTACTTGTTTGTTTGTTTGTTTCTTTAAAGAATATGACTGTCTGCTAAATTGTTTATTCAAACAATCAAGACGACAAACTGTCAAACTATTCATGATCAACATTCAATATTCTATAGTCAATTTGGAAATTCTTTTAAAATATTTATGATATAATATAATGAAATGTATTTAGTTTTTAATATTTTATTATTATTTGAATAACCATAGTTATAGTAACCATGCTAAACATTGAATAAGGGAAAATGAACATGGAGACAAAAGATGACAATTTGATCATGAAAATATAATTTAAAATTTAAATCAAATTTTGAAAATGAAATATTTATGAAAGTAGATTTTGTGATTTAGAAAGAAAAAAAGGAAACGTTTCTAGAATCTTCTCTTAAAAATAATATTCATACTATATGTGAATAATATGGGAAAACTAGAAGAATTCAATGTTGAAGATGGCACAGGTATTCAGTGTTTGACAACGCTTTTACTAGCAACGCCTTCTAATATAATTCGTACCCACCAAGAGAAATCAAAAGACAGAGCCGAGGAGATCGGAAGAGTGTATTTGGCGATAACCAATATATCGGAATTCTCTGATCTAATCTGGCTAGCGATTGCGGTAGATGTTGAGCACAGCGTTACCACACGTGATCTGGTGCGGATGCATGACCAAGCGCCTTCAGCTAGATGAGTCCACTAAAACATATGCTTAGCATCCAATGTCGAAAACCTACAGAGATATTTATTTTGGGGATTTATTTACCACTACAATGTAAACTTATCATTTAGATCATATTTTGAATTGAAGATCCATTACCATTTTATTAACAATATAGAGATGTAAAGTTTGTTGATTTTTGATTGAGATCATGAACTGATCAATATTAGACCATTATTGGGAATGTGGTATCATTGGACTGCCGATTCATTCTGATGTGGGATTATTCACTTGTGTTCATCCACGATATCTCATATAGGATTCAAACTTAGAAAGAAATGGTTATCTAGTGTTTTCAGGTTTTCAGTAGTGGTCTAACATTAATTGATTCATGATCTCAATTAAAACTCAACAATCTCCACAACTCTAAATTGATAATTAATATATGTCGCCGAATACGGCCGAGAGTGGGGGAGAGTCCGCTCTTCCTCTCGAAATGCTCTCACATGGACACGCGTATATAGCATCTGCCAGGGAAGTCCTACTTACTGCCCTCTCATGGCAGGGTTGTTGTTTACGAAATTGAGAGGACGAAAAGCGAACGTCCGGCACTTTAACTGGGTTAGTGGACATGAAAAGTCCACCTGGAGGAGATGGAAAACCCTGATTCCAAACTAATGGTTCACATGGGGTCGAGTATCCTGAGGGAACAAATGGCGTATAAACCAATTGTTGGTCACCGGCTTCCATGGAACTGCATCTCCTTGCGATGCTCCACTGCCTTGTGGATCAGATTTTCAGGTTGAAGGCTGCGGGTGGAGCCCCCTAAGAAAACCACCTGGTTTGGGCACCCGGGTAGTATTACATCCCTTACACATATCAAATGAGATCTGTGTGGCGCATATGTAGTTGGTGCCTCCTTGTGCCAATATCTATGTGTTAAAATAAAAAAAATCACTAGTCACTAGCTTCAAGAGGTACTTCTCAGAGTTCTAGTGAGAAGCCTTGACTATTGCAGATCAACCATGTCAGTTGTGAGGCAGTTACCTACCTAAAACGATAGAAGATGGTCATGCTATATCATGGATTGGTTGAAGTCAGAGATTAACACCGTCGGATATCGACACAGTGGTCTAGAGGTTAAGCGTTAACATGCGAAACCGAAGGTCTTGTGTTCGAATCCTACGCACGGGATCGTAGATACATAATGCTGAAGAGTCCAGTACATAACCATACAAAACAGCCGTCCAATGCTTCCAGGTTTTTAGTGTTGATCTAGCTTAGATCAACTCATGAATCCAACTGAGAACATTTCATACTTATCAATATTCAAAAATTGTTTATTTATATTGTGTTTAAATGTAAACTATTTGAAATTCTTCTTTTCAAATAACACCCTCATTACTAAATTAATTTATCGTAAATACTTTTTGTTTATCGTTTACTCTTCTACTCTACTTAAAAAACAAAACTGATTTACATTAATTTCAGGAACACAAACGAAATCATATTCATTTTTATGATGTAAAGAATCTAGCATAATAAAATAAATTATCCCTCAATTTTTTCTCTTAAAAACAAAACAAAACAACATTCATTTTAAGCAAAGATGGATAGTGACTAGCAGTGGAATCCAGTTTGACGCGCGTTTCGCCCTATTTGAGACTCGTCAGCTGGATCTGCCTACATTTCAAAATTGATGTTCACTCTGGAACTCGGTATTTAAATGGACAACGCAATGACATTTGAGGAGAACGGTACTGGGTTTGAGTCCCACAGTGAACATCCACTCTGAGATCAGGTACATCAAGCTGACGAATCCCAAATAGGACGAAACGCGCGTTAAACTGGATTCCATTGCTAGCCACCATCCATTTTTGCATTAAAAGCTCGTGACTTAAGGCTATATCGAGGTAGTCCACACAGGATTCACATATACCAACATGAGACTGATCAATTGCAGTTCTAAATAACAAGGAGGAGAGACAAGTAAACAACATTAAGTGAATTAAATAAAATATTTCACATCCACCCTCTGATATGTAATCCTTAGTTCAGCATCTCAATTAATTCAAAGGTCCCTAGTACTTCTTTTCAATGAATAAAAGAAAATGATTTCAAACATTTTATTTACTGATTTCATAATTTGTTTTTAAATAGAGTTAAATTAAAATTCGGATTACAGCAACAACAACAAAAAAGAAAAGAAAATAAGAAAAGAGAAGTACTTATGAAAGGAATATTTTAGAAAGAATCTAGCAACAACAAAAAATGGAAGAACCATTCGTCATTTTCATCACGTACTTACTATCATTATTCTTTCAATATATGAATCCTTTAAACATTATCACTGTTATTCCCATGATGATTTCATCAAATGATCAAGTATTGTTTAAGATAGTGAATGAAGGAAGTTAGGAAAAGAAAACAACAATAACGATAATAACAAAGAAGGAGGAATGTATCCGAATTTTTTTTATTTTTTTTTAAAAATTAAATTTTATTGAATGTTTCATTATCATTGTGTTTCGTTGTTGAGATTACCATAAATAGAATGGATCTTGAATTAGATCAATATATTCTATAATCCAAGAAATTCACGATCTTCTGGGCATACAATATAAGGTTCCTATAAATGAGATAAAAGTATAATTTAATAACATGATTTCTCTCTTTTTGTTGTCGTTGTTGTGGTTGTTGAAACAAACGAAATGATTATCTTCTATATACAATATAATTTATAAGATATGAACACTGAACTTATTATGTAGTCAATGTTTCCTTAAAGAATTTAAAAGGCAAACCACATGATTGAATTAATGATGATGACAAACGTTTGATTTCTGCTTAAATGAAATCCTATTAACCACTATGTCACTCAACTACTTTAATGATTCATCCGGAGACCATAGTAAGAAAATAATGTAGATGTAATGGACGAAAACACAATTGGAGACGACCACATGTAATTAAACACAAAATAACAGAGTTATTTGGTAAAATGTGAACACCATACATATAGTACTTTATTTTAAAAAATGTTCGTCAATTGCCCCAGACATTGTCGTTCCCTCATTTCCATACCAATCACTTTCTGTTCTTGTTCTCGTCTATTGGATCCAATTTTGATTGCTGTTACATGCTACTTATATCCGTCGATATAAGTAGTACACACCATATAGACTCGAAAAACATGTGGTATATAAGCGCATTAGTACAGATTTTGAACAAGTCAATCATATATTAGGATGGTTCAATTAAATAAAAACAATGGAAAAATGCAAGTACAAGTGTATAATATAGATAGAATAATACATTTTCCACTGGGATTAAAATAGAACTGAGATTACCGTAACTGGTTCTATGTGAAAAGAGTTTTTGCTTTTCAATTCATTTTATTTTACACACATATCTTGGAGTAAGTCAATTATATAGCTCTTTTTGATTGTATACGTGGATATAGAAGATTGTGATTGTTTCCCTCTTGTGTTTATCTGAAACTGCGATGATTAATGGTATTCAAGTAATTTTTGTAATGTCTCAGAAGTTCAGTTGAATTATTAATGCTCGTATCCACGTACATAATTTGACCGATACAGAAAATTCGATGTTTGTGGAAATCTTCAACCAGTTTAAGTAAGACAAACATTAAAAATTCTGAAGTACTAGGACAAGATGCCAACTAGTGCTTCCAGGTTTTCAATGGCTGTCTAACGTAACTAGGCTTATACTCATAAAATAATTTAAAAATCTCCGCAAACCGATGCTGAGAATTTGTTTTGACGTGATTATTTATGAAACGTTTAAGACCATAAAGAGACATTTACTTCATTCTCTTAATGACAACAAGCTAAAGGTATGATCTATCATTTCTGAGACTGTTAATATAAATCCTTCGTAAACAAATATATTGATATTTTAGCGTTGAAATAATTTAATGACAATAAAATTACATTCATTTTAACACAAGATCGGTTCGTAATCAATCTATCCGAAATACTGGTTGAAGTAAAGATTATTAGATGATATTCAGTATGAGTATTTGTGGAGATCATAGTGTTTTCAAGGTTGAATTCACGAGTCAATCTAAGCTAGACTACCATTAAAAGCCCGGAAGTACTGGACGGTCATTCCGTCCTGGTATGAGACTTCTCAGCAATGCTCAATCATGATCCCGCACACCAAACTCGAATCCAAGACCTTCAGCCTAACGTATGAATGCCTATTCTATAGACTACTGATCCGGGGTCCAACAGTATTGATATCTAACTTCAATTGATCCATTCACTTCCAGTGCTTCTAAATTTACAATGGTGATCTAACTTAGATTGACTCGTGAATTCAACTGTTAAAATGATATTTCATTCTTTTTTAAAGGAGTATTGCCTTTATAAAAGAAACTATAACCGTAGACCCTTTACTTTTCATTTCAGACTACTCGGTTGGGGTCCGCCTGACTATCGTAACCAATGGTTGGAGATTGTGGGTGACATGGGTCACAGTCGATCACAATGGCGTCTATGTATACACTCTTTGTCGTCCCTTAAACTATGAGATTAAAATCGCTTCATATCTTTCTTTCTACGAAATAATTCTTTCTTCCTGTACTATGTCCTTATATGCAATCTTTCTTTTATATGTTACTACTATTGAAGTGACTACTTCTATGAATTTGGCGTTCATGTTGTTGTGCTAATGAGGTGTGGCAATTTGTACAGATGCATATATGTGCCTGGTTCTACGTTGTAGCTGACTGACTGATTTTTATCGGTTAGACTGACAAGTTGATTTTATTTTATGACCAACATTCATTAGATCACCAACAAATGACGTAATAAATATCACATATTCTATTTTGATGGCTAAAATATCTTATAATGAAGAAATGGTTTCAAGTCAAAATTCTACGATGTTTATTCCATTCGAGACGATGATTTATCGTTGTTATATCTAGAGTTTAGTTTCATATTATTATCGCTTACAACCGTCTTCACAATGGTATAGTAATTGAGTAACAGCAACTTTTCAACTGGATCGTTTTCTTGCAAATTTATTACCAAATAAATCAAAGATCAATATAATTCCAATATTATTAACAATAGATGTAATAAGGTCAATCGAATAGTCTGAATTTCAGGTCGCCTAGAATAACCGATTACATTAGTTCTATGTAATAGTTATAATGAAGCCATTTCTTTTGACCATGGTAATTAAATTACCTGGTTTTGATTCCATATATATATGAAGTATAAATTCGTTACAGTTTCGACATTACATTATTTATTTCTCTTGGGAATATTTCATTCACCTAATGTAATTCTTATAAGTTCTATAGAATAATGAAACTTAACTGGTCAACCATAGAAACACAAACAAGAAAACAAACAATACTCTTTTAAATATACAAGAAAGTCGGTGGGAAATTAAGGATTTATTACAATTAATTGTTATTAGCATAGACATATATATTCGACTCATGAATTCAATGATCCAATTACTATAATCTCTACAAAATTCCTCTCTGATTATATTCATTATATGCTCACTAGTGACTGTCTCCAAGAGTTATTTCATGGAGTTCTAGTGAGAAGCAGTGACCAGTGGAGCTCAACCGGGTCTCTTGTGAGATAGTAACTCACGAATGATAATGGTGGACGGTGGCACAATTTCATGGATTGGTTGAAGTTAAATATTAACACCATTGGATGCCGGCTAAGTGGTCTAGAGATTAAACGTTCGCGCGCGAAACTGATAGATCCTGAGTTCGAATCTCGCGGGGGGCAGGATTGTGGAAGCGCACTGTTGAGGGGTCCCATACTAGAACGAAATAGCCGTCCAGTGCTTCCAGGTTCTCCATGGTAGTCTAGCTTCAGTTGACTCATTATTCAATTGTTAAATTACATACATATTCATTTATTTATACATATTTAATTTGGTGGGTAATATAGATTTGTTCAGTGTGTAAGAATAATATAAGTCAAGAATTCGTCTTATTTCACAACGGTTCAGTAGCATACATCTATGATTTCAAAGATGATGACGTAAGTATATTGAATGTTTGCCATAGGAATAATGCTTGTAAGTCGCTGAATTAATATCCTATAATTTTTATTGTCATGACAACATGTGACGATGAAACATACCTATTGGTTGACGAATTGTCATACTCTCAACATGAATAATTCTAATAAGACATTTGACAAGTATTGGAATAATATTAAATTTAAATTTGTACTCTAGTAGGCGATAATTTGTTTGCTCTAATTTACTGAACTCATTAAAGCGTCTTAAAAAGTTTCTTGATTCGATTCCATTTGGTTACTATAACAAATTCAAATGAATTAGATTAACATTGTATAAACTGATTAGTTTGTAAATAAGTAGTATATCACTCATCCATTTCGTTGTATAAAACAAGCAAATCATGATATAAATATCAAGCGGAAAATGGGCGGGGGGGGGGCACTTTTTTGATAAAACATAGATCAGAAGAGGTTTTGTGGAGATTGTAGTAATTTCAATAGCTAGCTATTTATTGAGAAAAGAATGAACAGTAGATAGTTGTCTTATCATAATAGTGAATCTCACATTATTGAATACCTTATAAATCATCGGTGGATTGAAGTCACAGCTTTGAAGCTTTACAGTAATTACATTTCATAAAAAATCATTTAAGTGAAATTCCGTCATTTAGATTTCCAATATATTTTTGAATACAATCAATCCACAGTGATAAGCTCTACTGAATTAAGAAATCTGTTCGTTAATAAGTCAGTTGTTCATAATAGGAATAGTACATTTGTTCTATTCCAGTGTCCAACCCTATCACAAATAATGGTGAAAATCTGGAAGAAGTGGGAAGTTTCACGCTTCTGTACAGCATCGTCGATGAACAGGGAGTATCTGATGCAAACGATTGGCAACGCAAGGACAGCATTCCTACAATTAAAGAAGATATGGAACTCGAAACAACTGTCAACCAATATCAAAATCAGAGTCTTCAATACGAATGTCAAGACAGTTTAGTTGTATGGAGCTGAAACTTGGAGAACTACTACAACTATCATCAAAAAGGTACAAGTATTTATTAACAGTTGTCAATGCAAGGTACTCAGTGATCGTTGATCGTATACCATGAGCAACAACCTACTGTGAGAGAGAACAAACCTACTCCCATCTAAAGGGGGAAATTAGGAAAGGACGTTGGAAGTGGATAGGACACGCACTTAGGAAAACATCAAACTGCATCATCAGTCTAACGCTAACTTTAAATCCTGATGGGCAACGAAAAAGCGGAAGGCCGAAAAGCACAGTACGTTGGTAACTGGAAGTAGATATGAAAAGGGTGTAAAGCGACTGGAAAGAACTGGAAAGGATTGTCCAGGACATAGTTGTATGAAGAATGCTGGTGAGTGACCTATGCTCCTCCATGAAGAATAACAGGTGTAAGTAAGTAAGTTAATTCCAATGTGCGTCAGAAAATCAAACACTTTGTCCAACTGATATCTACAAATTAACACAAGTTTAAATAATCCACAAGGAATTGATTGTATTAAAAATAAAGAGGTTTAATCATGTTACTCAGACATCAAAACAAAAAACAATACCCAGGATTTCTATTAAAACTCCTTTGGAATTTCCAACTTCCATCGAATCAAGATCTATAGTACCATTTAATGTAGAAAATATTCTTTTACAGCAAAATATTTAAAATTAAAATGAATCTTGTTGCCTTGACAATTCTTTTCTTAATTTCCTTTTAGAAATACGATTCCGAGCATTAAAATGGACAGAATAACCATCATGAATAAGGAATAAATATTGATGAAATATAAAACTTACTCTAAGAATCATTTGTTTAACACTATCTGGAATACGTAGACATCGTTCTGATTTTTTCAGTCGAAAGAAATGATAAGCTCTCTTTTCAAAATTTAAATCCTCAGGACTTTCGGCATCTTAAAAATAAATAAAAAAATCACCAAAAAGCAATGGATCAATACATAGATCATTGAAGAATTGGTTGAAATGTATGATCTATTCAATCAGTCAGGTAGAAAACAGTACAGTGAATTCTTGAAAATATTCAGTATGGATTGTATTTTATTATAAGCTAGAACGAAATCCTCTGTGTTTACATTTATTTTCAATAAACCTCTCAACTGAGCTAAAAAACTTTACAAACTAATGACTGAGGTTGACGCCGATTTCTAAATTTCTGATGAGAAATTGTGAAATAGTTATATATCACTGACATAGGACAATTATTGTACATTACTCCAAATTGAGTGACAATTTAGAGACAAAGACTATTCGGTTTTGTTTCAGTCATTTAAAAGTAACAATCTGGCTAAGACGCTGAGAGATTCTAGGTCATTTCCTTAATTAGGTTATGGATAACTAGACGAAAACGAAACTGATGCCAAATAATCTTCAACTGTTTTTCATCTACAATTCGAACTAAATAAATTTAAGGACATGAACGTTTATATTTTGACTGAGTGATGTGATGTTATCTACCTAGTCTCTAGATCTAAAAATTGACTGTTCACCTTCGTTTGAAGTCTTGCTGTGATTTACAATGTATTTATACTTCTAGAACAAAACAACCATTTGAATTTGCTTCGAATAGTTTTTCAGCTAATATCATAAGCTGAATAAGATGGCTCACAATTATACTGAAGTTCCATATGTTGTTTCAATCAGATACTTGTTTATTAAGAAGGTATAAGTTATTTCATATTCACCAAAATAATATAATATATTTTGTTATGTCAATGGGACATCTTTAAGTATAAGACTTATTTTTTCTGGTTGACGTTTTTATAGTGAGTTAGTTTACTACGGGATGGGGTTGCTAACCCCATACCCAACCATCCTCCTTTATCCGGGCTTTGGAAAAGCAGTAGCCCCGGAGGGTCTCCGGGTGAAATATATCAATACTTGTCAATTTTATTTCGTTAGTTTTTTATGCTGAGTACTTAACAATAGGTTTACTGTAAATTTAAATAAAATCAATCAATCAAAAAAAACAACAACTTCTAGCTGAAAAAAACGTTATTCCAGTCAAAAAAATGTTCAGCTACTATGTTCTATGGTGCTTAACTAATTACTTAATATGTTCACAAGATGTTACCATAAGCGTTACATAGTTTGTCAGAGCGATTTGTATAAGTATATATATCTATGTTATATGAAGAGAGAGATGAAGGATTTTTCATTGAATTCTTGATTCAAACTGTAAACTCTCATAATTAATTAACTGAAAGTTTTATAGGGTTCTAAGAAGAAGGTTTTAATCAACTGAAGTAGTAATTTAGTATACTAATTGAATAGTTTAAGGACAAACGTAATTTTATGCGTAACTTTAATGTTGAATCCATTTGGTATTGTTTTACTCGTATCTTCCCATTGTTATTTAGGACTGTAATTGATCAGTCTCATGTTGGCATATGTGCATCCTGTGCGGATTGCCTCGATATAGTCTTAAGTCACAAGCTTTATGAGCAAAGTTGGATAGTGGCTAGCAGTGGAATCCAATCTGTCGCGCGTTTCATCCTATTTGGGACTCGTCAGCCGGATGTACCTGCATTTCAGAGTTGATGCTTACTCCGTGACTCGAACGCATTACCGTTCTCCTCAAATGTCATTGCATTATCCATCTAGCTACTGAGTCCTGATGGCCACCTGTTTGTACAATGGGATCAAGTTTAAATTCATTTGGTGTTGTTTTATTTGTATCTTCCCATTGTTATTTAGGACTGCAACTGATCAGTCTCTTGTTAGCATATAAATGCTAAAAATGTACATATATATACATATTAGCGTTTTAATTGTCATCAAGCTTATTTTGTATAAGTCGGTCGGATTGTCAAAGTTTTTATTGTCTACATTTCAATATTATGGAAAGTATATTGTATAGTCTTTTCTCATTATCACTAAAATAGGATGAAGTATTTGTTTCATTTATTATTTTTGAAAAGTCTCGTTTTTCATCTTTTCATCTGAACGGCACAGTTTTTGATGTTAGAATAATAAAGTTAGTTTTATATTAAGAAATCAGTTTTACCCTCCACCCCCTCAAAAGACTATTCAAAATCGAATTATTATATTGTTATATTTCAAGAATTCTAGCCTAGGAAACATATACACGCTTAGTTACTTGTAAGACGGAACTTAGAGTTACATACGTTTGCTACCAAGTTAAGCACTTATAGACTACTGAGACAGAAACCAATGCTTTGCATTACTAACTTCAGTCAGTCTTGTATGTAATGTGAGAATCATTGTATTTTGTTGATGATAACTGTCATATCTCTGGAAATGGATGAATTTTACCGTTCTTAATTTTTTGACTTGATTTCCTTCCAATTATTTCATTTAATTACTCAGTAGTTCATGTATATTGCTAGTATTGTAAATATTTGTGGCATTACCTTCCATATATTATTATATTAGGTTCGTCACATAAATAAATATGTTGCGATTTCAAGTATTGTGTGTATATTTCCGAATTATTGTCTAATTAACACCACTGGGTGCCAACTCAGTGGTCTAGATGTTAGGCTTCCGCTCGTGGTTCTGGGTTGCAGCTCCGCGTTCGGGATTGTAGATGTACGCTTCTGGGGATTCCGATGCTAGGACGAAATGGTCGTCCGTGGCTTCCAGGACGGACGAAGACTAAGTAACAGTATAAACTGAGACAACTGATAGATATTTTGCATATGAACTATTTACTGTATGGTTCTCAGGTTTTACAAAGATATTCAGTGATGTCGTATTAAAATACATTTGATTGTCCTCCCTGGTGTTCTCGTTCACAAGAATTCAACTGAGTTGTGATAGAAGCAATACCAAATAACTTGGACTGGTTTCATAAGTGGTATTGTTTAAGAATTCTTAAAGGAACAAGTGAAAACCAGATATTACTTTTTATGATTCAACTCATTTACCAAATAGAAGTGTTTATATACTAGGTATTATAAGTTTGGTAATACTGGATATTTAATATTATTTGTTTGAAAGTAATCAATTGTGAATCTTCCACCTAGGTATGGTGCTTACATGATGTACCTACAGTATCTAAAGAACTTCTGCTCCCTAATGGATTCAAACCCTAATTACTCAGTTTTATATTCTGAGGCGTTATCACTGAGCCATTCTGACTGAAGTATTTAGTATTGAATGATCACGCAGTGCAACTAATTTATGCTTGTCCTATCGGTAGTACTAAGTGAATACTATCGATCAAGTTACATTGTGATCACTAGTCTAAGTGACTAGAGGTAGTCGACAAGATACCTTGTTCAGTTTAGATAAATATTATATTATTCATCACTTAATCAATGAACACTAGCTGTATACACATGGCCTATTAGTTGTAAGCAAAAGTGATTTAATCACTGAATCAATACTACCCTTTCAGCTAAACAAAATTTATATCAATAATGTTTTTTTGGTTAGAAAAACTCATGAAAAACTTCTATTGTTTTATCGGTCTTCTCATGATCTCAACCATTGAAATTACTATAATATCCACAAAATCCCTTTTGATATGAATCAATATATGCACACTAGTGAGTGGCTTCAAGAGGTATTTCATGGAGTTCTAGTGAGAAACCGTGACCAGTGGAACTCAACCGGGTCTCTTGTGAGATAGTAACTCACTGATGACAATGATGGACAGTGGCGTAATTTCGTGGATTGGTTGGAGTTAGATACTAACATTGGATGCCGGCTCAGTGGTCAAGAGATTAAACGTTTGAGAGTGAGACTGATAGATCCTGAGTTCGAATCTCGCGAGGGGCGAGATCGTGGATGTACAATAGGACGAAACGACCGTCCAGTGCTTCCAGGTTTCCCATGGTAGTCTAGCTTTAGTTGACTCACGATCTGAATCATTGAAATTATCGGTCTTCTGTTTGTTTTGAATTTTATACAGTTTGAAAAGTTTGTACCTTCTAACGAATTTTGTTGTTAATTTGCCTTGAAATATTTTATTTACTATTTCGTTAATTTAAAAGTGTAAAAATGCCTCAATGAAATGATCTACGATTAAAATAACAGAAGAGTTCATTAATTTGACTTCAACAATTCAATCTAAGATTTGATGGCAACCTGTTCTAGTATTTGCTCTACACATTCCGGTCAATCAACTGTACTGTTTTACACTTGTTTTAATTGAATAGTAATGAATTCCAACTGTATATACTTGATCATTGCTATAAAATGCTTTCAAATTAATAAGGTTCACAGTACTAGAATGTTCAAACAGAAACAATAAAACTTGTCGTAGAAACTGAACTGCTAGAAAACTTCTGGAAGCTGATGATGATTATTAGGCGATACTGATTATTAAAGACAATTAATAATTACATTATTGTACAACTGTTGCCTGAAAATGCTTCATCATGACAGCATTCACTAGTTAGAATGAAATTTTCATAATTATGATTATGATGTATGATATAGTAAGACTGGATAAATGATGCTTCTTGCATAACTGTTAAAATTCACTATGAATAAGTTAAAACAACCTGATAATTTCAGTTCTGTAATGAATTTACTATTTGAAAATGAAAACAGAAATTATAAGGTTGGGAATTCGCTATTCCGAATGTTGCATTCATGAGTCAACTAAAGCCAGACCACCATGAAAAACCTGGAGGCAGTGAACGGCCGTTAAGTTCGCAAATGAGATCGATAGGTCTTGGATTCAAATCCCGCGAAAAAGATCATGAATGCGAACTGCTGAAAAGTTTCATACCAGGACAAAATGACCTTCCAGTGCTTCCAGGTTTTCCATGACGGTGTAGTTTCAATTGACTCATGATTTTAACTAGTGAAACGTATTATCACTCTGTTGTTTTCTTCACCCTTATTATTATTATTATTATCACTTCAATGTATAATTATATACTTACAAAATGAAAATGTGCATGTACGCCTAAGAGAGTGT